ATAAAATATAATTAGAATGTAATTACAAAATTATTAAATAACAAAATAACATTATATTATAATGCATAGCTCTCTAAATAAATTTAAAATTAGCTATACCAAGCCATACCTAAACCCAATTACTGCTAATAGGACCATATTATATAAGGATATATAAGGATCTCTCAGCTCCATTTTCTAGTGGTCCGCGTGATGGTGGCCATGTTTTTGGGGATAGATTACCATATGGGCATGTGCAGAAGATAGGTAATAATTACCGCTGGAGAAGTGGAGAAACAAAAAGCCAAATCTGACACATTCCACGCAAAACCCCAAAAATGGCAAAATTATTGGCACCTTCTCAAAATTGTAAGAAATAATTGCATTCCAAGTTTGTGAAGCTCCTGTAATTTGTAATTAAACTCACCTTTATCAATTAATAAGTGCTAACAATATAGTAATCACTCCGGCAATCAGATAAAATGGTGAAAAATTTACCCAACCTTTCTGTTGTGTGTCTCTGTGTGCCACGCATGAAAATGAGAAAGACCAGCAAAGAATTGTCTGAGGATTTGAGAACAAAAATTGTGGAAAAGCATGGACAATCTCAAGGTTATACAAGTCCATCTCCAGAGATCTTAATGTTCCTGTGTCCACTGTGTGCAACATTGTCAAGAACTTTACAGCCCATGGCACTGTAGCTAATCTCCCTGGATGTGGATGAAAGAGAAAAATTGATCAACGATCGCAACGAAGGATTGTTTGAATGGTGGATAAAGAACCTTGATCAATTTCCAGACAAATTCAAGCTGACCTTCAGGTACAGGGTACAACTGTGCTTGCAGCTTGCACTATATGACGCCATCTGAATGAAAAGGGATGCTATGGTAGGAGACCCAGGAGGACTCCACTGCTAACACAGAAACGTAAAAAGCCAGATTGGAGTTTGCCAAAACTTATCTGAGGAAGCCAAAATCCTTTTGGGAGAATGTGCTGTGGACAGACAAAACAAAATTAAAGCTTTTTGGTAAAGCCCAGTGGTGTATTCATTTATTGTGCCTCCGTAGGCAACACAAGAATCGGGTGCCCCCCATCTCCACAATCCTCCACCAAATAAGGCATTTGCCTTGTGGTAAATATTCTGCTGAGGAGGTTTATTATACATCGGGAGGTGTACTGTAAGTCATTACTGGGGAATGTGTATTGTAGATCAGTAGGTGGGGGTGTACTGTAGGTGTACTGCTCGTACCGGGTGATATGGGGGAGGTGAACTGTAGGTCCTGTACTGTAGATTAAGGTAGGGGAGGTGTATTATGGATCCGTATGCAGTTGGGGGAGGTGTATTGCAGGTCAAGGGTTAAGACTAAACCCCATAACCTACAATACACATCCCCCAACTACATATAGATCTATAATACACCTCCTCCACTACTTAACCATTTAGTGGGGGAGGTGTATTGTGGATCGGTACCTCCTGGGCATGCTTCCTCAGCTGCCTGTACTGGGTGATGAGCTGCTCATTGTCCTCTCTCCATAGCTCCAGCTGGTGTATTTCTGTACAGGCTGCCTCCAGGCTCTGTAGCACAGAGTCCAATCCCCAACTCTTTTTCAAAGCCTTTAATTGTAGCATGGGGATTGCAGCAGCTGTGAGCCTTGCAGAGCAAACAGATAATACAGTACCTCCTATAACAGGTTGTAGGTATGCTTCATGAGTCTGTAGTTATGGAAAATAATTCTGACGGCACCTTCCCATGTTATTTCACAGACGTGAGTTCGGTTTTGCTTTGTTCTTGGTCAATTTATTTGATTTGGTTTGCTGTGTTTTGTATTATCCACGGAGAAGTTCTTGTTACTTCTTGTAATTTTTCAAATTGAATAAATAGATATCTTTATGGAACATAAAATGCCTAGGACTGGGTGCGAGACCAATCCCATCCACCAAGTATGCACTCCACACAGGCAAGTATTTTCTTTCCTTTTAAAGCAAAACTCTGAAGGAAACAAAATCCTGTTTCTTTTTTTTAACTTCTGCAATGTTCAAAGACGCTTATTTTTATCTTCTGCTTACCCATTCACAGAACACCTTGTATTAAGTGAAATTTTCTTTCCTCCTAAAGTGAAACTGAGAAAAACGTTTTTAGTTTCTTGTTTACTTTTTTGGTGTACATAGAATAAGCTGCAACAATGCTTATCATAGGCTTGTATCGCTACTCTGAAAAACCTAGTTTCATTGATGCTGGAAAGTACAGCTAGACCTACAATTCTGGCTCTAAGAGCTGTGGATCTCATATACACAAGCCACCATGTAATTTTTCTTTTCCCCTTTCCCACTCACAGAGAACCTGCGAATGGTATCCTTTCCTAACTGCTTTTTTGTACTCCTGAACAAAAATATAAATGTGATATTAGGGAATTTAGCTCAGTGATAGTAGCATTTCACAGTGAGTCCATACCAGTCCGAACTGTGGTTTCAAGGCTTGCCAGACCATTTTTATTAAACAAAAAGAAAGTAAAGCAAAGTTGTTTTCATCAGGATTTCCCATGCAGGGTTTTCAGTTTCACACAGAACAAGTCATGAAAAATACAAAGCTCTTTCTTCAGCAGCACTGCTGCTTTTGTCACTAGTCCCACAGACCATTTCACTCACTTTACCTGGCTCACTCAGTCTGTAGTTACAGCACCTTGCTGTATGGGTCTACTCCTGGCCTCTTGATAGTGATTCTCCTGGCACTTCAAGCTACATCTCAAGCTCACTCCCCCGGATTAGTTGCCTTGCTCTCTCAGTCCTATGGACATAGCATTGCTCCTCCGGCATGGAAGATTGCCTCTTGAGTAGAGCACCTCTATCTCTGAACAGGAACGCACACTTATCTTTAAACAGAAGTTCTGAGCTATGCCCAAGTCTATCATTAGACACACATTCTGCTGATCTTCAGCAAGACCTGGACACTGGGTTGGAGATTTCTTCCCCTCTAAACCACTTCGAAATTCCCCAAGCTATGGAGCCTAATCCAGAATACTAAAATCAAGAGCTGTAAAAACAGTTTTCTCTGCTCATAATCAATTCTCTGGAGTCCTGCATATGTATGAACCCTGTATCCTTTCTACAACCATTTTCACAGTGGCAGGGCCTCACGCTGTCACACCTACACATGTGTAATTTGGTTAGTTTAGAATTGTTTTTTGGACAAAAATTTCATTTTCAGACAATTGGATGCATCCGATTTCAGAATGGACATAGAAAAGAATGGCAATGAAATACCTAGCCTAACCCAGCCAGCCTTACCTCAGCCTTACCCAGCCAGAATGGCAAAACGTTATCATAATAAAATAACAAATGCATTTGTTCAATTGTTTCATTTGGATGATGTCATTTTCAAATTCCTTCAATAATAATTCAAACTCATTCTAAATAGTTGTGGTTGTTGAGGAGCAGGTAGCCACTGCATCCTTAATATTCATGACTCATCTACTGTCAGTGGATTTCCCCGGTGTCAGAAAATTGTAAACAAAAGAAGTGGCGGTTAAAAGTAAAAGAAAAACAAAAAATCAAAAACAGCATAGGGGTCTCTCCCCAATCCTTACCAGACCTTTTGGGTCTGGTATTAACTTTGAGGGGAACTCTACTCCAAAATTTAAAAAAAATGGTGTGAGGCCCCCAAAATCTATTTGAAAGGAACCCCACGCTATATTTTTAAAACAAATTACAGGATCCCCCCAAAATCTTATACGAGCATGCAGCCCAGCAGGCCAGGAAAGGGGGGAAATGAGTGTCCTCCCCCGAACTAAACCAGGTCACATGCCTTCAAGATGGAGGGACGGTGCTTTGGGGGAAGGCCTGCTTTTTAACAACCACAGCTATTCACGATGAAGTTGGATCTATTTGAAAGTATACCAGGTGGATTAGAAAACTTTTCAAAGCCACATGATATAACGAATATATTAAACGAACTCTGCAGAAGCAAAACGAATCCCATAAACTAAATACAATGAAAACAAGTATACAAAATTTCTACCTAATGAATATATTTGAAACTAAACAAAATTTTCCAGTGTGCACATGTCCAGTTACACCATATATAACCAGGGCCAAGTCCAAACTGTCTTACACATACTATCTGCTTTAATCAACTTTACAGAATAAGTCATAATCATGGGAGGAGACTTCAACATGGGCCTCAATTCTGATTTAAATACTACCTCAGGAAAATTATATATTGTTTGCATCAATATATACAGAGAATAGCATACAAAACCTTCTCCAGCTCACAGATGTCTGACTGTTACAAGATTAGCAGAATAAGGATTTTACCTACTATTCTTCTGTACACAATACCTATAGTAGAATTGATCTGGTCTGACCACTCACCCATCCTGCTGACACTCCCAGACTCTCAAAAAAACACCTCTAGGTGGAAATTAAACAAGGGAATCCTCTTTGGCCTAGGATGCCCTAAAGACTACAGGAAATAAAACACAATTATCAAAACGTTTAACCACTAGCCTACAGGGCACTTATACCCCCTTCCTGCCCAGGCCAATTTCCTGCTTTCAGCATGTTGCACTTTGAATGACAATTGCGCGGTCATGCAACACTGTACCCATATGAAATTTTTTAGCATTTTTTTGTGACAGATAGAGCTTTATTTTGGTGGTATTTAATCACCTCTGGGTTTTTTTTTTTTTCTTAAACAAACCAAAAGCCACAGAAAATTTTGAAAAAAAAAGATTTTTCTTAGTTTTTGTTATACAGTTTTGTAAATAGGTGATTTTTCTCCTTCACTGATGTGCGCTAATGAGGCTGCACTGATGGGCACTGATAGGCTGCACTGATGGACACTGATAGGTGGCACTGATAGGCACTGATGAGGAGGCACTGGTAGGTTGCACTGATGGGCACATTGACAGGCATCACTGATGGGCATTGAAAGGCAGCACTCATATATGGCACTGATAAGTGGCACTGATAGGTGGCACTGATAGGCGGCACTGACTGGCACTGATGGACGGAAATGACTGGCACTGTTAGGCGGCACTGATAGGCAGCACTGACAGGCACTGATAGGAGGCACTGATGCACACTGAAAGGCGGCACTGACTGGCACTGATAGGCAACACTGATAGGTGGCACTGACTGGCATTGATAGGTGGCACTGACTGGCACTGATAGGTGACACTGAAAGGCAGCTCAGATGGGCACTGATATGTGGCATTGATGTTGCACTGATATGTGGCACTGATGGGCACTGGCAGGTGGCATGGATGAGCACTGAGAGCTGGCACTGATGGACACTGACTGGTGATGCTGCTGCAGCTACACAGATCATCAGGGCACTTTGATCATAAGTGCTCTGATGATCTGTGTACATGTCCCCTCCGAGGAATGCCGATTACCGGCTCTCCTCTCCTCATGAGCTGTCAGCATGACAGCTAGTGGGGGGAGAAATGCCGATAACCGGCATTTCCCTGTTTACATGTGATCAGCTCTGATTGGACACAACTGTTCACATGACTGAGCCGACATCTTCGGCTCTTTCCTGGATCGGTGATCCGCTGTGTCCGAGGGACACAGCGCACTGCTGATCGCCGCGCTGCGCACTCCGGGAGCCGCGCATGCGCGGTTAGAATGGGAGGACGTCATATGACGTTCTCCCAGAACGACAGAACCTCCTTGCATCCGTCATATTCATACTCACAATTAGGGATGAGGTTTTGATATACCACACAGTGAGTTTTCAGCAAACCAGGAGCCGCAATACTGGCCTAGGTCACAAGCTGTCCAATTCCATGCCAATTATAACTAGATAAGGATGTGTTTGACAATGCCACTAACCTGATGTTTGAGTATCTGTTTTAAAACATAATATCAGGCACTTGTTTTGCACTTATTCACACGCGTATTTATGTGCTTTTGCACGCACAATATATTCTTAGGGAAAATTCATTAACATATATGCTCATATGCGTGTATTTGCGTAAATTAGTGACCCAAAAATGCAGATTTTCCTATTTTTTTTTCTTACTGAGGAATACGCGGTGCTTATTTACGCACCTGTGTGCAAAAGCACATTGTAAATAATGGGCTACATTTTACCTCAGTAAAAAATCCCCACTGTTTTAAGCTTTTTCAAGCTGCAGTATGCAAGAGGCCTAAAAGGCACATACAGTCAGGTCCATAAATATTGGGACATCAACACAATTCTAACATTTTTGGCTCTATACAGCACCACAATGGATTTGAAATGAAACAAACAAGATGTGCTTTAACTGCAGACTGGCAGCTTTAATTTGAGGGTATTTACATCCAAATCAGGTGAACGGTGTAGGAATTACAACAGTTTGCATATGTGCCTCCCACTTGTTAAGGGACCAAAAGTAATGGGACAATTGGCTTCTCAGCTGTTCCATGGCCAGGTGTGTGTTATTCCCTCATTATCCCAATTACATGAGCAGATAAAAGGTCCAGAGTCCATTTCAAGTGTGCTATTTGCATTTGGAATCTGTTGCTGTCAACTCTCAAGATGAGATCCAAAGAGCTATCACTATCAGTGAAGCAAGCCATCATTAGGCTGAAAAAACAAAACAAACCCATCAGAGACATAGCAAAAACATTAGGCGTGGCCAAAACAACTGTTTGGAACATTCTTAAAAAGAAGGAATGCACCGGTGAGCTCAGCAACACCAAAAGACCCGGAAGACCACGGAAAACAACTGTGGTGGATGACCGAAGAATTCTTTTCCCTGGTGAAGAAAACACCCTTCACAACAGTTGGCCAGATCAAGAACACTCTCCAGGAGGTAGGTGTATGTGTGTCAAAGTCAACAATCAAGAGAAGACTTCACCAGAGTGAATACAGAGGGTTCACCACAAGATGTAAACCATTGGTGAGCCTCAAAAACAGGAAGGCCAGATTAGAGTTTGCCAAACGACATGTAAAAAAAAAGCCTTCACAGTTCTGGAACAACATCCTATGTACAGATGAGACCAAGATCAACTTGTACCAGAGTGATGGGAAGAGAAGAGTATGGAGAAGGAAAGGAACTGCTCATGATCCTAAGCATACCACCTCATCAGTGAAGCATGATGGTGGTAGTGTCATGGCGTGGGCATGTATGGCTGCCAATGGAACTGCTTCTCTTGTATTTATTGATGATGTGACTGCTGACAAAAGCAGCAGGATGAATTCTGAAGTGTTTTCGGGCAATATTTATCTGCTCATATTCAGCCAAATGCTTCACAACTCATTGGACGCCGCTTCACAGTGCAGATGGACAATGACCCAAAGCAGACTGCAAAAGCAACCAAAGAGTTTGTTAAGGGAAAAAAGTGGAATGTTCTGCAATGGCCAAGTCAATCACCTGACCTGAATCCGATTGAGCATGCATTTCACTTGCTGAAGACAAAACTGAAGGGAAAATGCCCCAAGAACAAGCGGGAACTGAAGACAGTTGCAGTAGAGGCCTGGCAGAGCATCACCAGGGATGAAACCCAGCGTCTAGTGATGTCTATGCGTTCCAGACTTCAGCTGTAATTGACTGCAAAGGATTTGCAACCAAGTATTAAAAAGTGAAAGTTTGATTTATGATTATTATTCTGTCCCATTACTTTTGGTCCCTTAACAAGTGGGAGGCACATATGCAAACTGTTGTAATTCCTACACCGTTCACCTGATTTGGATGTAAATACCCTCAAATTAAAGCTGCCAGTCTGCAGTTAAAGCACATCTTGTTTGTTTAATTTCAAATCCATTGTGGTGGTGTATAGAGCCAAAAATGTTAGAATTGTGTTGATGTCCCAATATTTATGGACCTGACTGTATCTACCTTGCCTGGCACATATGTTGGTGGGCTCATCATGAAGTACCCTGCTTTCCAGGAGATCCTTTGTCAGGCCAAAAGGGTTTATGGACACTTGATGTGATCATACCTGACTATTTCACACCTAGCAGAAATGTAGCACAAACGTGAGCTGCTTGCCAACCGTCTCATCTGTGACACAACATGGACGGAACTCAACATTGGCCATACAGCATAGACTACACCAGCAGCAGCGTGCCATCAGTGAGTACCTCTGTAATCATGGTACAAGCACAGGCTTTACGGAGCTGGGGAGTTTATCATTGCATTAATGGCTCATCATTCAAGATGCATGCAGCATTTTGACATCTTTTGAAAAGGCAGCCAAAATGGTGTCTCTTTTCCTGTGAGGCATAGGAGGAATATGAGGAGCAGGAGGGTTGTGTCCTTTAGGATCAAATGCCTGCACAAGGACACCAGGATTCAAGTCCTCAAAGAGTAAGACCACTATAAAGTGGTCACCCTTTTATATCCCTGATTAAAGGGTAAAAGGGTGATCTTATATCACCATCCCAGAGCAATGACATAACAACAGTTATGGCAGCCAACATGACTGCTATGGAGACTGAGCATGAAAGGGTACATCATTAGAGGGCTATTGAGGCGATTTAACCACATAAAATATCTGTTCATGTAAAGATAACACATATATCACGGTTTTCATAAAGTGGTTTTAAAGTCAGAATGTTTTTACCATGATGCATCCCTGCATTAAAGTAAAAAAATGTCCCACTCTTTGTTCTGTTTGGCCTCCCTCCCTAAACACTTTTCAGATACCATTAATGATCCAGTGCTGTCACATCTGCAGTACCACTGCTCTCTCTTCCTCTTTTCACAGGAGACTCTATGAGTTTCCATGGGCTATGGAAACACACAGCCCGGCTTGGATGCAACCCTGCATGAGTGCCCCCATAGCACATTGCTATTAGGGCACCTGCAAGAAGAAGGAGAGTGCGCCAGCGGGGGACTCCAGAAGAGAAAGTAAGGTACCCTGTGCAATACCATTGCATAAAGCAGGTAGATATAACATTTTTTCAATTTTTAAGCAAAAAAGATTTTATGTTACATATAACATTATTGACATGCATTAATTTATTTCACAGAGGGACCTCTTCCTCAGTTTTGTTTGTTTTTCTCTTTTAATTGTTGTATACTTTGTAGTCTGTTTTGTGGTGTGGGCTGAGCCACATTTGCCTACATATGTCCCTGCTGTGGTATAAAGCTCACAGCAAGTTGGAGCAGTGGGCTGGGAGAGAGTGTCAGGGATTTGTTTAACTGTTTTTGGAAATGTATTTCTCTGAATTAAATAAAAAAAAAAAAAAATATGAAAGTGAGCGCTAGATAGAAAGCTGCAATGCGCCAATAAGTACCAAAGGACTCTGCAAAGAACATATGAGAAGGGGCGCAGCGCTAAAATACAAATATAGCTAATATACACGTATATATAGCAAACAGAATAAGTGATAAATGTGCCGAGAACTGTGCATAAAGGCAATATAGGTCCTTAAGTGATAGATGGTGACTCAAAAACGTGCGTCTTCCGGTGATCAAATTAATTGAATCATGCACTCACCAGATGCATAATTCAAAATGCATATAGATGATATCCCGATATCCAAGCGGAGTTATCTCAAAAAACCGGATAAGGTCATCGTCTGAGTACATCAGTCCGTCCAGGTTTCTCCTTATGGATCGTGTGTGTTTCCACACTAAAACACCTCTCAGCTGTCATCTAGGTGGCTCTGCAAGTGATGGACTCAGCAGGGTCCCAAGAAAGAAAGCCAGGATGGTGTGATATCGTTTTAAATAAAAATTTAATGATCCAAAACAAAAACAAGGACTGCATATACAAAACTGACCATAAAGGTGTACAAAGATGGCCGCCGCTCTATGCGGTGGCGTGATGTCTGGGTATGCTGCTCTTATCCTGACGCGTTTCGTGCCATATGCACGTATTCATAGGGAGTGTGTCAGCTAACCAGACATCTGCTCCAAGCCCTGTATAAGTAGTGTATGGCAATCGCAATAAGCGCGTCCGCCATTTTCCCGGCGCCCTCGCGCATGCGCAGAACAGACATCACTACGACGTCTGCATCATAGTCCAGCGCCATTTTGTTGTGGTCTTAACTATAACCACCGGCGGCTACGATACCAGCCGCAAACACAGCTGTGTGATGAACACGATGTCATTCCACCATAGTCCATAGCAGCTGTTAGCCATAATAATACACACAGGGCAGGAATAGAACACAGAGGATACAGTGAAGACACCCAATAGATCCATACCAAAACGGTTATTATGTTCCTTAATTCTAAATGCAAGGAACATGCATTTACCAACATTCGTGCATTTAACATATATGGATGTTGATTCATCTGATATATATATGTTTACCGTTTATAAGTTTTCATAATAACCGTTTTGGTATGGATCTATTGGGTGTCTTCACTGTATCCTCTGTGTAGATGTTTCTATTCCTGCCCTGTGTGTATTATTATGGCTAACAGCTGCTATGGACTATGGTGGAATGACATCGTGTTCATCACACAGCTGTGTTTGCGGCTGGTATCGTAGCCGCCGGTGGTTATAGTTAAGACCACAACAAAATGGCGCTGGACTATGATGCAGACGTCGTAGTGATGTCTGTTCTGCGCATGCGCGAGGGCGCCGGGAAAATGGCGGACGCGCTTATGCGATTGCCATACACTACTTATACAGGGCTTGGAGCAGATGTCTGGTTAGCTGACACACTCCCTATGAATACGTGCATATGGCACGAAACGCGTCAGGATAAGAGCAGCATACCCCAGACATCACGCCACCGCATGGAGCGGCGGCCATCTTTGTACACCTTTATGGTCAGTTTTTGTATATGCAGTCCTTGTTTTTGTTTTGGATCATTAAATTTTTATTTAAAACGATATCACACCATCCTGGCTTTCTTTCTTGGGACCCTGCTGAGTCCATCACTTGCAGAGCCACCTAGGTGACAGCTGAGAGGTGTTTTAGTGTGGAAACACACGATCCATAAGGAGAAACCTGGGACGGACTGATGTACTAAGACGATGACCTTATCCGGTTTTGAGATAACTCCGCTTGGATATCGGGATATCATCTATATGCATATTTGAATTATGCATCTGGTGAGTGCATGATTCAATTAATTTGATCACCGGAAGACGCACGTTTTTGAGTCACCATCTATCACTTAAGGACCTATATTGCCTTTATGCACAGTTCTCGGCAACATTTATCACTTATTCTGTTTGCTATATATACGTGTATATTAGCTATATTGTATTTTAGCGCTGCGCCCCTTCTCATATATTTCTCTGAATTGTTCTGTGTGGCACTATGTGTGTGTTGAAAAAAATGATGATAAAAAATTGTGCGCTGTCCAATAATTCAAACAATATTGAAATATTAGAACAAAACAAAAAATTGGAGCTGCTGCAAACACGTATAGTGTGTGCTCATCACATTAAACAAGACTTTGATTATTATTATTCTCATAAATAGTCTTTCAGGGTCTTATTGTACCTTTGATTTCATAATCGGGTCCTTATGACAGCCAAACTTAAATAACCTAATCTATTAATATAATTCTAAAATAAAACAAACCATAAACTGACCTTACTCTAGCAGAATTTTGTAACAAATGTTTGATTTAAGAATGTTTGATTTTCTAGTCTTTAGTGGGGTCAAATCGATGCTCATTTTTGGTCAAAATTATATGAAAAAATTCAATGAAGCAGGATGGAAAATTCTTCTCAAATAAACGAATTTTAGTGTATGTGTTTTTTGTTTGGGAAATTACATGCATTTCAAAATCGAATGTTAAAAGCAAACAAGATTTTGAATTGATCAAGTTATCGACAGAGAATTTACATATAAATGTTTGTACAAATGTTTGCCTGAATGATCACTAGTCCATGGCCAATTTTAGTGTTAAACCAAACTGAACAGATAAAATCCCATATAGTACTCCTTCAGGGCCCATCTACTGGTTCTAAAGTTATGGATTTTATGCACCCCTTGGTAGCACATGCTTTAAATTGTCACCTATAACTCTTTCTCAAGGAGAGTCTTTTTCTTGGTGTTTAAGACCTTGAATGTACAAGTATCTGCGGCATGAATGGTTGATCGGGGCTCCTAGTCTCTGAATATGTAGGTCAGCATTATACTATTGGTACCATGTACCTATCTCCCACTTCCATTGGGTATGGCTAGGTTGAATGCTTCTTTGTGTGAATTTATTGAAATGTCAATGGGCTTGATAATCTTAGCAGGGGATTTCAACACTGTATTAGATCATACTTAGATTTGGATGAGAGTGGGCATACCCTGTTGCACTAAAGACCCGATCACTTTACCAGAGATTTGGTGATGGAAACATCCCAATAGAGGAGCAAAATCACGACAATCTGAATTATGTATACTGTTTGCCACCTCAGAGCTTCTTCCTAGGGTCTTCAGTATTGTATATCTGTAGCATAACACTTTCCCTGGAACTATTACCCTGCAGTCCCCACCAGGTTTTAGACCCTGGAGGAGAGGTCCTTTACAAGACCTTAGGGCCAATTGTGGATGTGTCTCAGATATGGATAATTTCTGATGACCCACCAGAAGAAATTGTGTTTACATGGATAGCAAAAACTGCTTACAGGAATGCATTCAGAGAGTGGTGATCGATGGTTCAAATTCTAATTGGGCTAAGGTTGTGAGTTGTGTGCCCCACGGTTCTGTCTTGGAAACAATGCTGTTAAACGTGTACTGTATATAGATAATACTGATACTCATTAGGAGGACCTCCTGGGGGGGGGGGGGGATCTGTCATGGAAAAAGATTTGGGGCTACTTGTAGACTACAGACTTACTATCAACTTCTAAAAAGGCCAGCAGAACATGTTCTTGCATTAACAAGTCTATTTATTCAAGGGCATGCTTCCCAACACATGGCTGGTCCGCAACACAGTTTATAAAAAGCAGTATGTAACTAAGATGAAAAAGAATTAAAAAGTACAGAAAGTACAGAAAGCAATGTTACAGAACTGAGACTGTACAGAAAAAATATCACAGATATAAGGTATAAACAAACCCTAAACAGCTTTCTCTTTGTATTGAGATCTACAGTGCAGCCTTGGACTAGTACTCAGTGTTTCATGCTTTATTTATCGGTAAGATAATTTTTTTTTTTTATATATATAAAACTTTACAAAAATGAGACTGGTCTGTCTATATCTGTCATAGCAGCATAATAAAATGGGTACGTGCAAAAATCAATAACCCATGGCAACCAATCAAACTTAATTTTTGCCATATAACTCCAGTAAACTGAAAACGTATTAACTGCCATTACTGGCAGTATTACTGCACCTTGTATATAGTAATTTAATTTTGCATATCTTTATTAAAGCCAAGCTCCAGGCAAATGGCTACATTGACAAAAGAAATGAGCATAGGAAATTGGACTCTGCAATCAACGCATTTTACAGGTTAACTTCTTCAGGAAAGACACAAGATTGTTCACATCTGTAACAAAGGCAAAAAGGTTTATATAGCTCAATAATTCATCATTATTATAATGAAACCTCCATAGGAAGATGTTTACAGATATGAAATCTACCACAACCTCATAGCATTACAACATCATGGGCAAAATGTTAAAAAAAATATGTAGACCATGCATGAGGTACATACAACCAGGCAACATGAATTTTCACACTCTCTTCTCAGGCTAATCAGTCAGGGGGATTTGGGTTTTTATTTTGGGTAGAACATGGATAGGGAATAGGGGTGCATGGGATGCCCAAAAGTGAAGAATTTGGATAACTCTTGAGGACTTACTAAGAACTGACTTCAACAGCTCTGTCCACCCATGGGAGTGATGATGCAGCAGACTAGCAACAAGTAAAAAGTTCCAAAACTGCAGATGGAGGTGCTTTTCCTTGCAGGAATGCCAAAGCACCTGGCTACTGCTGTCCCAAACTAGAGAAATGGGGTTTCTTCTGGCTGCTTTGTGCTGGTACTAAGGTGTCTCCTGGACCTGTACATGTAAAGTATGGCAGCCTTACTGTCTTCTCTGTACAGGTTTGTGGTAGGTAAAAGTGGAGGTTATTCACTCATTCCTCTTATGTGTAGCCAGGTGCTGGCTATATCATTATGAAATTCAGGGACATTTGCAGATGAGACTATGGTTCTTTTTCCCCCTAGTGCCCAGTACTAGGACCGCTACCTAACTTCCTGTTAGCAAAGTGGATCCAGTTCTTTTGACAGCAGAGGATCCTGGGACCTGTAGTCCTATAGCCAATACATACTGTATTTCTGAGTGCTGATTGTACTACAGCTACCAGAGAGCTGGGGAACCGGAAGGCATGTTCTACAGCAAGGAACTGGCTCCCTCTCTTGGTGCAGGATTTGGAGCTGAACACAGGGGAACTGCTGTTTTTCTCCAGAGACAGATTGCTGGCTACTACTGCGGGACTCTACATACGAGTTTATCACAGCGATGATGCTGAACGCTACACCAGGATCGCATCAGCATCTCTGCATTGGGACTGTCATTATCCAGTCTTCAGCCAGTCATCTCTGCTTGCTGTGCTGACAGGCTGTCAAGTGGTAACTCTGCACTTCTCTGAGAACAGCCAAGAGCCTGTCCAAGAATCCTGTTCCTAGGAGGCAGTGCTATCCATGGGATTGGTGAGCGGGCAGACGCCCAACCTCTTTCTGACAACACTCTAGAGACACTGCATGCAAACACCTTTACACCTCAGTGCCTGATTTCTGCGCTTTGAGCATTTACCACAGCCTATCTGTTATCTTCATTGAATTACCATTACTCACTACTGTATATGGGCCCCACCACTGCTAGCAGGAGACAACAGTTACTATCATATCAGGACCATTAAACATCACAGGACTTAAGTTGCTATTTCTAGTTAAAGGGACCTCTTCGCATCTAAGCTATTGTTATTCAAAGTAGGGTGTCTATACCCATTTTTAGGTCAGAGTATACAGTATGTATGTATATATGCTATGTTGCCAAAAGTATTGGGACTTTCTTCCAAACCATTGGATTCGGGAGTTCCAATCATCCTCATGGCCACAGGTGTATAAAATCAAGCACTTAGGCATGAAGACTGCTTCTACACACATTTGTGAAAGAATCTCTCAGGAGCTCAGTGATTTCAAGCATGGTACCGTGATAGGCTGCCACCTGTGCAATAAATCCATCTGGGAAATTTCCTTGCTACTAAATATTCCACGGTCAGCTGTTAGTGGTATTATAACAAAGTGGAAGCAACTGGGAACAACAGCAACTCAGCCACCAAGTATTATGCTGAGTAAGCCATGTAAAAGACAGTGGGCCATGTAAAATGACAGCGGGGTCAATGCATGCTGAAGTGCACAGTGCACAGATTAGCACAACAGTGCATAAGAGCTTCAAGGAATGGGTTTCCATGACCAAGCAGCTGCATCCAAGCCTTACATCACCAAGTGCAATGCAAAGCATTGGATGCAGTGGTGTAATGCATGCCACCACTGGATGAATCATGCTTCTGTCTGGCAATCTAATGGACATGTCTGGGACAAGTCTGGGGCTGCTTTTCAGGGGTTGGGCTTGGCCCTTTAGTTCCAGTGAAGGGAACTCTAAGGTATCAACATACCAAGACATTTTGGTCAATTTCATGTTCCCAACTTTAGGGATGGCCCCTTCCTGTTCCAACATGACTGCGCACCAGTGCACAATGCAAGGTCCATAAAGACATAGATGAGTGAGTTTGGGGTAGAGGAACTTGACTGGCCTGTACAGAGTACAACATCAGTGCCTGACCTCACAAATGCACTTCTGGAAGAATGGTCAAACATTCCCATAGATGTACTCCTAAACCTTGTGGGCTGCCTTCCGAGAAGAGTTGAAGCCGTTATAGCTGCAAAGGATGGGCCATCTCAATATTGAACCCTATGGACTAAGACTGGGATTAAATTTAATGTGAGTGTAAAGGCAGGCATCCCAATATAGTGTATGTATATATATGTTTACATAATTCTTTGCATTCCCTAATGTGGTGTTGGTGGCCCAGAGGGAGCTGATAAAGTCAACAAGCCTTTTCTTCCCTCTCCTGCTGGTGTTGCAGTTACATAGTTACAACGTACCATTTGTGACTGCATAATCTGTTAATTGCTGTTATTTGGTAATTTCCATTTTGTGTCTTGCTTGTATGCTTTTAATTGGGGACAAGCATTATCAAGTGGCCCCCTGCAAGGGTATCGCTACATAAGTCAATTCTGGAATCCAAGAGGCTGCTGTAGAGGCACACTGCTGCACAGGCCTGGACGTGATTCCAGGGTGTCTCCAGCTAAACCTAGATGAGGCTGGTAAAGGGTGTGAGGCTTCCAGGTGTAGCTTTTCTGTCTCTCCTTTTATTTATCTCCCTCTCTCCTGATCTTACTTCTGTCCAGGGACAGAGCCCTCTAACACAGCAGTCCCCTCCAGGCAACTGGGCCCTGGAATCTGCTCCCAGACTGCCAGGATTCTAAATAATTATGGGTTGTTTCCACCCCTTCTGAGATTGACCTGCTCAGGGATTGGTGGTAACTCCATAAATATTCAGGCTGCAGTCTCTGTTCCTCCGTCCACTAGATCCAGAAATCAGGGGGAGGTAATAGAGCCACAGTCTTTGAAGCACTGCAGTCAAAACACAAATTAACCTCTGCTCCTCTGCCTACAGAGAAGCCAAGCTAAATTTTCCTACACTTAGCAACACTGAGGGTGCTACAGTTGCAAGAAAAAGTATGTGAACCCCTTGGGATTACGTGGAGTTTTGCATGAATTGGGCATAAAATGTGCTCTGAACGTCATCTAAGTCACAACAATAGAAGAACACAGTCTGCTGAACATAATACTACACAAACATTAGATGTTGCCATGGTTTAATTGCACATAACATGTAAACATTCACAGTGCAGGGAGGAAAAAGTATGTGAACCTTTGGACTTAACTGGTTGACCCTCCTTTGGCAGCAATAACCTCAACCAAACGTTTCCTGTAGTTGCAGATCAGACCTGCACAACGATTTGGAGTAATTTTGGACCACTCCTCTTCACAAAACTATTTCAGTGTAGCAATATTCTTGGGATGTCTGGTGTGAATCGCTCTCTTAAGGTCATGCCACAGCATTTCAATCGGGTTGAGGTCAGGAATCTGACTGGGCCACTCCAGAAGGCATATTCTGTGCTGTTGCAGCCATTGTTTTGTTGAATTACTTGTATGCTTTGGGTCACTGTCCTGTTGCATCACCCATCCTCTGCGGAGCTTCAGTTGGCGGACAGAAGGTCGTACGTTTTCCTGCAAAATGTCTTGATAAATTCTGGAAATCATTTTCCCATCAATGACAACAATCCGTCCAGGCCCTGAGGCAGCAAAGCAGCCCCAAACCATGATGCTCCCTCTGCCATGTTTTACAGTGGGGATGAGGTTTTGATGTTGGTGTGCTGTTCTTCCCAAACAACTCAATCTTGGTTTCATCTGTCCACAGTATATTTTGCCAGTAGTGCTGTGGAACATCCAGGTGCTCTTTTGCAAACTTCAAACGTGCTGCAATATTCTTTTTGGACAGCAATGGCTTCCTCCGTGGTGTCCTCCCATGTACTCCATTCTTGTTTAATGTTTTCCTTATTGTAGATGTGTCAACAAAAATGTTAGCATGTGCCAAAGATTTTTGTAGGTCTTTAGCTGACACTCTGGGATTCTTCTTTACCTCATGCAGCATTCTGCGCTGTGCTCTTGCAGTCATTTTTACAGGACGACCACGCCTAGGGAGAGTAGCAACAGTGCAAAAACTTTCTCCATTTGTAGACAGTCTGTCTTACCGTGGAAACATGAACATCAAGGCTTTTGGAGATACTTTTGTAACCCTTTCCAGCTTCATGCAAGTCAACAATTCTTGATCGTAGGTCTTCTGAGAGCTCTTTTCTGCAAGCCATGGTTCACATCAGACAGTGCTTCTTGAAACCAGTAAACCCAAAACAAGTGTGTGTTTTTTAAGGGCAGGACAGCTGTCAGCAACACATCACAATATCATCACACTAATTGGAGTCAAGGTTGGCTCACTCCTGGCTCCAATTAGCTCTGGGAGAAGTCATTAAGCTAGGGCCTCACATACTTTTTCCTCCCTGCACTGTGAATGTTTACATGTTATGTGCAATTAAACCATGGCAACATCTAATGTTTGTGTAGTATTATGTTCAGCAGACTGTGTTCTTCTATTGTTGTGACTTAGATGACGTTCAGAGCACATTTTATGTCCAAGTCATGCAAAACTCCACGTAATCCCAAGGGGTTCACATACTTTTTCTTGCAACTGTAGCACCTGAAAGTTTAGGTGCAGCCTGCAGTTTGTGCAAATGGGAATTTCCTCTCTCCTCCCTATGCCCAACTCCAACCATCATTTAAGTTAATAAATAAACAGGTGGTGCACACACCTAGTGCATTATCCAAGGTTTATTCAAAGGTATAAAGGATAAAAACATACTCACAGACGAATACTTTTTTTCCTTTATACCTTTGAATAAACCTTGGATAATGCACTAGGTGTGTGCTTCACCTGTTTATTCTCTATCCAGTGGCTGATCTCCCCACCTGAAGAGGACTGCACCCCTGAAGCATTTCCTTTGGTTGTCGCTGTCCTGGTTCCCTTGGCTTTCCTGAGGCATTGGAGAGTACATACGATATCCGGTTTGGTTGTTATCATTTAAGTTAGACTTAGGCTGGCTATACATTATACAATTATCTGGAGATTTTGCGTTTAGATTTACCAAAAACCATATAATAGGAGGACAAACCTAAACAACACTTTCAATTGTATCCAATTAGGCAGGCCCTTGCACTACACAGTTGAAGGTAAATCTAAAGGAAATTGGGCAGAAAATTGGAAGATAATTGTATAATGTATGGCCAGCCTTAGAGTAGCACTCTTACCTGCCGGATGGGGGGCCATCGTTGAGATGGAGAATGGAGACGGTATAACTGCTTCCATGAATATCCGGTGGCTTGGGAGGACCACTGAAATGATGTGCACAGGAGCTGGGGAGTCTTGTTTAGTAGACCAAAGGGGAGTAAGCTTTCAAAAAATTTAGCTATGGGTTGTACAAAACTTTATATTAAAACACTATAGGTAGCAACTCTAACAGCCAGCGCCAGGACAAGGACATTCAAGCCTAAGATTCAAAGTACCCCTTTCTCCCAGGCTGTTAAGGATAATTTTAGACACTTACAGGGCCTGGGCTGGTGGTGGGTGCAGAAATGACAACCATTGTTTGCCTGTCTTGGGTTTGCCGCCTTTTGTTACAAGGATAGGTGGTGTCATGGTAAAACAGAGCCGGGTACTCAGAAGCTGGTGTAGCTGTGCATGGTGGCCAATCAGCTTCTAACTTCAGCTTGTTCAGTTAAGCTTTGACAATAAAACCTGGAAGCTGATTGGTTTCTATGCAGAGCTGCACCAGGTTTTGCACCAAGCAGTTTTAGTACATAATCTCCATAGCCTCTGCTGCATATTGATTTGTTCAGTCCTGTTACCAAAAGCAGTGCATGTAGAAGTACAAAACCCAGTGCAGCCTGGGGAACTGAAGCAAATGTTTAAAAACTGGTACTGTACCAGCAACAAACAATTCAGTCTGAAGGTTTGATTATGTTCAGAGCACTCTGTGATTCCCAAAACCGGATATGCTCTGTTGTGCAAATAACACCCACTGTCTTCATGCTTTCCTATCATCCAGTAGGGTATGTAAAGGAAGGTCTCAAGTCAGCCATAAAACCCATGGTCAATATTTATGTAACACAACGTAAATCGCCCTGGGTTTTGGGGTTACTGGAGTGGTCTGCAGATAATCTGTACAAGGTGTTGGAACAATCAGGAACTGCTTTACAACATAAGGCGATATGACAAGTTCACTTTAAACAAGGTCCAAAAAATCATATTGTACAGAAAATTGTTTAGATTGACCAAAATCCATTGAGGCAAGCCAGCTACTTCAGGATATGGTTGACGACGTGGCACTCTTATGGTTTTAGCTTATGTATAGACTGTGTCCAAATGTGGTCAGAAGTTAAAAATATAAGTCAGGGTTCAGATTGTTAGGTTTGAGACTGTGCCAGTGCAGCTCAAAAATCTACCCAACATGCTTTAGGCTTGACAAAGAAAGACAGGCCAGCTCATGCTTTGCTTAACGTGAATATTTTGAATTAATTACACTCTGCAACAACCTTGGAGTTGTTCAACACCTTGACTGCAGTATGTCACAACCAAGTTTAGCAATATAATAATATGCATGAAGGTCAGTTTAATAAAAGCTAAATAGATTATATTTGAAATGTACATTTGAATGTAAAATATATTCTTTAGTATTATAGGCAAAAAATCCTACAGACATGAATCCTACCATGTTTGTCTCCAGGACTTCTCCAGAGCCTCCCCCATCCTCTGGAACTCTCTACCGCAATCTTTCCAATTATCGCCTACTCTGCCCACTTTTAGGC